AGATGTATCGACTTTCTGAAATGAAAAATTTATAGTCCGACTGTAGGAAGCTTATTGTGAAATGTGCTATTATTATAGAATCTATTTATTATCGGTTAGTTTGCATCAAAGTAAATTATTTGTGTAAAACATTGAGAATGTAGTGAATTAACTTGTTTACAAATTATAAAAAAGAACATATTTTTATTTTTATATTCGAATAAAATTTTTCTCATTAATCAGCTAATGAGTACTTAATTTCAACTGGGATTTACATATAGTTTACGATGTGTTTACGAGTATCTAAGTTTTTATTTATAGTCACGAAAACAATGGAAATTTTTTTTTATTTGTTTTATACTAATTTTGCATAATGAATAATTTAAATTGAATGAAATGCTTTAATAATGAACTCTCTACAATTCGTTATTTAATTATGTTATAACTAAATAAATATTAAGTTAAAAAAATTTGATAATAAAAAAGAAAATAAACCATACAAAGAGAGCCTTTGAATATATACGAAATTATGTATCAAACTTTTTTTATACGATTATCTGACCAATTGGATGTGATATGTACTAAATACTTTCCAGAAGTAAATTTTAGATAAATTCAACTTTTAATTAAATTTGTACAATACATATAATAAAGATCTTAAAAGGGTTTAATTAGATATTGATGGTTCTGCGGATAAATCACAATTCTCTTCGAACCGGTTCTTGTGAAAGTAGGTATTTGTACTTTTTATTATTCCAATAACCATCGGAACGGTTAATGAATCCGTCACACCTATTATAGAGTACTCAAATCTGCGCTGAGCTTTTTCTACTTGATTTGATTGATGTGTAATATTTAAACCATTATTTGATAATTTTTTTAATTATTTAAGTTGCGGGCAATAACAAAACTTTGACATCAAATTGCTCTTACAATGAAATGTTTGATGTTTTTACAGTTTTTATTCGTTTTTCTATTTTGAATAGAACGTTTCATAGTTGAAAAAAAATTTTTATTATATACAAATATTTATTTTATTTTTTTTGTACTTTCATATCGTTACGATGTATGTTTTCAATCTAATAATTACAATACACTGTTAAATTCTGCCATAAAAAATTATCTACTTATATCACCTATTTGTGTTACGTATATAAGTAGAAGCAGGTAGGTAACCAGGGAAGGGGCTAGAGGGGCAAAGGATTTGAGGTGATACAAAATACGTTATTTATATATATGTATTAAATGTATACATAACGCGACGAGACTATTTAAAATGATTGTTAAAATTTTCTTAAAATCGCTGACATTATTCGAAACCTTCCCATATGTAGATTTACGGTTACAGGCTTGATTAGAAGTATTTGACAAAATTAACAGATACTCCTCTGTAAAGATTGATTTGTTATATACGAATTTTAGAAATAGATTACGGCGATAGTTGTCGGTATATGAATTATTTATATATTAAAACACCAAATCATTACTGTATAAATAATTTGTAGCATTAACAAGTAACTTAATTTAATAATTTGTATAAGTGTGATCTGTAATAAGGCTAATTAATTAAGGTGCCTAATCAAGGTGGGAATTAGGAATATTTTAGTTTTGCAAATGGTTTGCTTTGGATTTCAAAAGAAAATATTTCTTAATGGGGATTTCTTGAACGTTTTAAGCGTTTTTTCTAAAGCTATGGGTGTTGTTTTTATTGGCTTTCTATAGTGTAGTATATGCTTGTATGCGCATGTATGAATGTTAGTAAATATCAATTTCGCTGTGAAGTGAAATACTTATTTTAAATTTGATTTTAACTATCAAATGCTAAGAAAGATTATTTTAGATTAACACATTTTATCATTTATTATTTAATTATTCTCTTTAAATTCAATTTTTATTTGGGAAATTTTGTAGATGTTGTGGGCTTATTAATTTTTCTTGTAATGTAATATATAAAAAGGCTTAAGGGTTTATAATTAAAAGAGTTTACTTAAGTACTTTTATACACAAAATAATATAAAAAGCTATAAACGTTATGTAAGAGATATATTGGGATTAATATATATATATACTTTAAAGATATATAGTTTATTGTACATACATGAGTTTTTTGGTTAGTTCGGGCTGCATAAGCTGTACATAGTCAATAAATAGTTCACTTCTCTAATTGGATGTATTGCTAGTCCATAATCATGACATCAGAAAGCCCATACGGATAAATAGAATTTTTAACCATTTTTAACCATTTGTTTTGTATAAAAAATATTTTTCAGTGTACGCGTATTCGCAATAAAATCGTAATGAGTTGGTATTATATACTTTAATGAAGTAAAAGAATAAAAAACTGCTGTTATAACCAAATATGTATATATGTATGGACAGCACGATGATTTGCAAATAAATCAAAAAAATCTCACGCAGAAGTTACTGAATTGATAGATACAAAATTGGGCTTAACATTTCGCTGAGCTTGGCTTTTACTATAAAAGATTTAGACTTGTTCTATTTCGGCATCATTCTGAAGAGAAAATTCGATCGCAATAGTTCGCAAAATGTTCAAAGCGGTGGTTTGTGTTCTGTATCTATTTGCAGTAACAATATCGGCATACGATTTCAAAGATGCTGACTTTAGTAAGGCTCTGCGATATTCTTTGATCTGTTATGGAAATTGATAATCAAAAAAATTATTTCTTAGATGAATATTTGTTTGATGAGTTGCAAGCCGATTACGAAGAAGGATTTGATACTATCGTCCGTCTACGTCGTGATACTGAAGTAACTGAAACATCAACTCCGGCTAAAGAGTCTAAAGAATGTGGAAAGCGTGATTGGAAGAAGGATGGTCTATGCTGTACAGGCGATAAATTTGACATGAAACACTTTGAGGTTTTTAAAGAGGCTAAAAAACAGTGTTACGCTGAAGTACGCGGCAATAATTGTAAGTTGAAAAAAAGTTGGTATAATAGCAAAAAACGATATATGTATAATATATTTATACATTAATTTTGTTTAGCTGATGATTCCTTTGATCCATTTGATTGTCAAAAAATGCAGCAAGTGAAAGAGCAAGTCGTGTGTGTTAGTGAATGTGTTGCAAAGAAATTGAATATTGTGGACGAAACCGGTGCCCTTAATCGGGATGTTCTTCTTACACACTTAAAATCAAAAATAGGTGATTCACAGTGGAAAAAAGATGTATTAGAGAGTTATGTGGATAAATGTGCGGGTGAAGCTAAGGAAAAAACAGTAAAGAACTCTTCTGAGGAAGTTAATAAGTGTAATAGTCAACCAATGACATTCCATCACTGTCTATGGCGTGAATTTACAAATGGCTGCCCTGTTGAATTACGGGTTGACTCTCCTAAATGTTCCAAAATTCGTGTGCGTTTAGCAAAAGGAGATACTTCGTTCTTAAATAAGCACTTCCTTCATCATTATCATCATGGACGTCATGAAGAACAAGTTCAATAAATTGATAATTAAGGATTGAAATTGAAGACCTCATTTAAGACTAATTGGATCAAATAAAAGCATTTAAAAATAAATCAGAAATTAATTAATATACTAAAACTACACATATAGTATTAGAATAAGTGAAAAGGTAGCATTCTTTTGGAAGCATAATTTTTTTTTGATGTATATGATTAGGCAATTGTAAAGAATTGCGTACAAAAAATGTTATGGATCCTTTAGTTTTCAACTGAAGGCAGTTATGAAGCCGATTAGTTAACTGAAAATTATTTTGTTTTTATATCTTTTTAAATGAATGAGTTCTTTAGTAATTTAAGTATCACATTAAAGCGACTGGATCCTGCGTGTTGCATGTGTTCTCTTTAATCCAACTTATTTTCGTCATTTTAAATAATTCCATCCATAGGCACTTTAAGTGAAGGTGAAGTCCTCTATACATCTGCTGAGTTTGAAGTTATGGGAAGTTGTAGATTTTACAGTTGCTAGAAAGGCTACTCTGAACCGGAACCCACTTTACCATTACCGATGAATGCACCATAGCTCATTTAAAGATATATGAATTGAAATATAAATTGGAATATAATAATTGCTTGGTTAATAATAATTGCTATTTTATTGGAATGAAGTTAATTATAGGATATATAACACCAACTTCTGTCTTACTAATACCGTAATATGTTTTCGCTAATCTTAAGATATGTTCAACAAAAACGCCTTTTTCCCCTTTACTTTTATTACCGTCATCTATCGTTTTTAGTAGGTAACTTTACGAATCCGTTTAAGCTAACATTTCAACATATACATAGAAAATAGACTTTGATGAGCTGACATATATAAATATGTAGAAAATCTGTATTCCACAAATTAATCGTATTTATCAATAATTAATTACAGACGACCGATTTGAATAAAAATCGTTTTCCCCACTTTATGAATATTCTTGCCATTAAGACGTGTTTAGTTCTGCCATTATTGCCAAAGTGTTCATAAAATCTATTGATTGGATGCAAATGAGTTTCATTCGAATTTGCCTTTCAAAGGATGAAAATTGAAAAGTGCTTTTGAATATTCACGATACAGAAATAAAGCAAAAGCGAAGCAATCGCTCCGGCAGGTTGGGTAATGACAGGCCGTGCTCTAAGTACTTGTGGGTTGGAAATGGCAAAAACTGCACTTAACGTGCATATTCACAAGTGATTGAAGCTAATGAAACACGCTTTGATATTTCATTGAAACGAATTGGCTTAAAAGGATTTTTATGATGAATTTTGAAAAGTCCTTT